GAAGAAGGTGACATGCTGCTCATGCGTAGCACATGACGAGAATGAATATTATGGTTGAAACATCTTCAGCTTCTCTGCTTCAATATCACTCCAAGATTTGTCTCAGAGCCAATTCTGGCTGCAAGATGCCTTGTCATTGATCCAGAGTCATTGGCACCATCTGTTTGGAGTGGAACGGATGGGCGCATTGCAATTCCTGGCACACTATTTCTCCTCTTTAATTCCTCCTCTGCATTTAATATCTGTAAAATAACCAATATTAATTCAAGTAATTTCTAAAATTCGTCTCAAAACATCAGAAAACAAACACAAGGATGAGAATGAAACCAAAGCTCACCTGCTTCAGCACTTGCACCAGATTATGTTTCTTTGCATTCAAAATTTGTAATTTTTCCTCTACATCCCTCTTTTTTCTCTCTTTGTCATCAGATGAATCCCTGTTGTTGATTGTCTGTCATGTGAAACAATACTTGACAGTAAGAAACACGTCATGAGGAAATCACAAACTAAGAACATGATATTACCAGGAGGATATATACTATGCTTACGACTTAAATCTGCTATAAGCTGTAAACCAACCATGGTTCATACGAGACATGCTACAATTTTCATCCCCACTTTTCCATAATGATTTCCCCTTAGAAATGTTGACTGAAGGCTAGGGGCATCTCAATTAAATCATTTTAACTGCTAGTCCCCCATGAGAAAAAATAGCTTGTTTTCAACTGTAGTTAAATATAATGGACAAAATCATTCACTTTATTTCCTATGGGCTCTAAGAGGCTTAAACTTTAATCATGCCCTTCTACAGTATGCTATTTAGCAGTTAAATAATCATCTGCTAGAAAATCATGATCATATTAGAAACTAAAGCTTTGTCTTCCACTGGGTTCAAAATTCAAGGTGTGAGGACTTAATTTGTGATAGAGATGTTCGAGAAATGATTAGCTGGGTGGAAGAAGAACTACTTGTCTGGGGGTGGAAGGTTAAAACTCATAAAAAGAACGCTCGCAAACCTTCCTATTTATTATTTATCTGCTTTGATAGTGCCTGTGAAGGTAGCAAAAAAGCTAAAAACAATTCAATGTCGTCTTCTTTGGAAGGATGATGAGAGGAGTAAGAGATATCATCTGGTGAAGTGAGAAGAGGTGAAGTTGCCTTTGGAGCAAGGGGGACTGGTGCTTAGATCATTTGTTGAGATGAATATTGCCATACAAGGAACATGGCTATTGTGGTATATGAGAGATGAAGGGAGGTTGTGGAAGTGAGTTATAGAAGCTCATTGGAGGATTGTTGATTGCGGAGGATTATCTAGAGAGATGGTGAGACCGCACGAAATAGGATTATGGAGGAAGATTGGTATGGATACGCAAACATTCCAGGAATGTATGAAATGGAAGTTGGGTATGGGGAAAAATATCCTATTATGGGTGGATGAATGGATTGGAAGGGGAAGTCTCAAAAATCAATTCCCAAGGATTTATGCCATTGCACAATCTAAGAAGGGAAGAATATGAAACTTTGCTACAGCTCTTGTCCAATGTGCATTTGGACGAAAACAGGGACTAGATAGTGTGGAAATTGAAGAAGGATGGAGAGTTCCCTATTAAGTCCTTTTATAATCATTTGGTGAGAAGAGATGAGGAGGGGTTGATTCTGTTTGCAGTTAACCAAATTTGGAAGGTGAAGGCACCTCCAAGAATAACTTTTTTGCTTGGGAAGCAGGAAGAGAATGCATCTTGACCACAGATAAGTTGATAAGAATGGGTAAGATTATAGTCAATGACTGTTATCTGTGAAAAAAAGCTGCTGAATCTTGTAATCACATTCTTCTTTGGTGCCCAAGGGTTTATAATCTTGTATAACATTTGCACAATGGTTTATAATCTGTTAAGGATTAATTTGATTACTGTGGAGTTGATGAGAGATGAATTATGGGCTTGGAAGAGGATATGTACAAAGAAAAAATTTGTAAATCTTGTTTCTTTAATTATTTTTTGGGTGGTTTGAAAATAGATGAATAGTAAAGCTTTTGAGGGGTGTGAGGGGGAGATGTTTTTTATTCTTTGATTTTGAGTACATTTATAGGTTGGAGGATTTTGTGAATGTCATTGATATACTAATTGAGCTGTAAATATCTCGTAAATAGGTGTGCCCCTTGGTGTCGTAGACTTAATATACTGCATTTTTTTTAAGCTAAAAAAATATTAGAAACTAAAGCTT